GGCGCCGTTGTCGGGGATCTCGGCTGCCTACCGGGGTCCTTAAGAGAACGAACCCAGGTTAAGTGCAGGCTGATGATCTAAGCAAAACGACAAAAAAGTTATAGGAGGGTTGTATATGACGTCATAATAAGACTGAGTGATATGGTATGCGATGAAAGGTTGTATAAAGGGCGCGAATGATTAATGGTGGAGCGGGTAGCTAAACTTAAGGGTGGAATGGTCAAGAATGACGTAAGGCAGACCCTCTAAACTTGACGAACTGCTTACCGATCTATCCCTTGTTACTCTTGTCAGGTTGGTTAGCAAAAAGAGGTGAAGATGTCGGACGCTGATGAAATCGAGCGTGGCCCGGCCGCTACGCCTGAGGATTTCGTCAAGGCACTCGAGAAAAGGGAGTTGGCACGACTTCAAGTGCCGAAAGTTAACATCTTCCATTTTAATGGGGACGAAGTATCGGAGTGGCTGGAGCTGCTGGAGCAGGTTACGGCCGAGGTGCCTGAGGCAGATAAATTCAAGTTCCTACCCAGATACGTCTGGTGGGAAACTCGGCCCGAGGTAATGAAGGTGGCTGCTGGAGCAGGAGGAGACTGGGCTAAGTTCAAGGCAGAAATGCAGAGGCGGTTCAAGTTAGGGGATGGCTTGTTAACGAAGACAAATTTGAAGATGTTACAGCGGGACGAGTTCTCCACGGTGGGAGCTTTCGCAACGACATTTGAGAAGATGGCCAAGAAAGTCCCCAGATTGGCGGAAGAAGAACAATGTGCCACTTTCCTGGGGCACTTTAAGAATTGGGAGGCCTCGTCGCTAACCAAGAAGGCTGCGCCGGGAAAGAAGCTCACTTGGGCCGCGATAAAGGAGGGCGTAATAGAAGGAGAGCTGGACCAAGTAGGCATCTTCCAAATGCGACAGGCTAGGAAGAAAAGAAAGGCCTTGGATGCCATGACGAGCGGCGGGCGAGACTTTAAGAAACTCATAGAAGATGCAGTGGCCCAACTTGATGCAGAGAAAGAGGCAAAAAGGAAAACTATGGTGGCACCACAGACCCAAGGGAAGGCAAAAAAAGCAGTGGTGCAGGAGGGAGAAGAAGAGGAAGAGGAAGAGGAGCCTGAGCCACAAAAGTTAACCCAGGTTCAGAGAAAGGCAAGGAACTTGGCTCAAGGGGGGCAGGGCTCAGGAAAGGGGCAGATCCCGCAAGCTGTAGCCATGCCACCTCCTGAGTCGCCCAGTCAGGCTGCACCAGCTCACTATGGGCCATGGCCAGGTTGTGGACCTTCGAGTCATTGGCATAGGCACTGTTCATATGCCCCGTGGCCAATGAGCGGGCCGCATGGGTCGTGCGCCGGACCATCACTGAGCGCGGCTTCCTGCGGCTGCTCGGGACCCCAAGCGCAACAAGTGAGCCACCCGAACCCACCGCCAAACCAACCCCAGCAGTCAGCCCCACAAGGTTCGCAAAGCAATCAAGGGGGTGGACGTGGACAGAACCAAGGGAGGGGCCGAGGACGGGGGAATGGTGGCTGAGGAGGAAACGGCAGAGTGAATGGTGGTGGTAACGCTGCAGGCAGGGGAAACGAGGACTGGGCGGCCTCTGGAAGTGAAGGTGGTCAAGAAGGTGGAAGAGGCGCTGGCAGAGGGAGAGTAGACTGGAGAAATGCCATTTGCTGGCATTGTGGGCAGAAAGGCCACTCTATTAAGTTCAGCCACTTCAGGAGGAACGACAAGGACAAAGGTTTAATTAGCACCAACTATGATGGAGACATGTACGACAAGTGGGGGTACCACCTTGACCCCAAGATTCCAGGCGGTACGAGGAAGGAAGCCCTGCGAAGGACTGAGGCCGGTGAGCCACCCACACCTCCAGCCATGTTTCGGATATGGCAGGAGAAAGAGGTCCGTAGTGACGTCAGGGTGGAGGAGGTAGGAGAGAACGCAGAGGTGGAGCAAGAAAAGAAGTCGGGCACCACTAAGATAGAACGGATCACAGTGGAGTCCGACGATGAGATTGAGGAAGATTGCTGGAACAGGCCGCTGCATGCTGAGACAGGGGAAGATTATTGGAGAACGGTCCGACAGACAATGGAGAGAATGGAGGACCCGATAGACAAAGTCGGGAGATACCAACARAAGCTGRCTGATATGTGCAAAGAAGTCAAGGGGTGGCAAGGTAAGGAGCCATCGGTATACCTCTACGACTTAGGTCCGGGGTCGCAAGGATGTTCCGTGAATCTACCAAACGTCACGACCTCAGGAGCGACGYYTCGATCCAGAATGACCTTTAGACCACCCTCCAGGACGGGGAGGGCGCCTCATGCCGTTAGGACAAGGGCTAAAGAACCATTGAGTCCCGAAGAACCAGCCAAGGATGTTCCTGAACCCAGTGGAGAGAAAGAGGTAGTGGACGTTCCAGAAGGAGAGGATGACGAAGATGATAGGTTGAGGAAGGAAGAGGATGAAAGGGCCGAGCAAAGAGCCAAGAAGAGGGGTGCCAGGCCAGATACAGACAAGGCACAATAAGTAAAARARAAGAAGTACGTTGTYCGAGTGGAAGAAGGCTTCTATGTGGAAGAGATAATGGACAAAATCCTTGAGGGTCATGATCATCTTATGAACMTGAAGGACATATTAGCCTCAACGCCTAGGCTCAGGGATGAGCTAAGGGCGCGACTATCCAGGAAGATGGTGGCCAGTGTGCGACTAGGGACAATAATCCCTAAGGAGGGTGAGTGGGATGAAACAGGTACTAAGATGGACTGGAAGTCTGTCGCCTGTGGCTGCCTCCACGTTGTGGTGAAAGGGAAGACATGCACTGCGATGGTGGATAGTGGAGCGGAAATGAACCTCATAAAAAAAGAACATGTCGTACGACTGGGAATGAAAATAGACCGCTTTGACAACGARGTTTTGATGGAGGCCAATAGCCRATCGATATTCATTGGGACCGCGTCGTCAGTAATATTAMAAATTGGAAAGGTGAAAGYAAGGAGCTGCTTCTTTGTGATGCCTGACTTGGACCACCCTATTCTACTGGGTAGGTCRTTCSTAAGTCGTACTGAGACGGTCATCCTCAATAAACATGACGGAACCATGTTCCTCATCCTGTGCGACCCCGTATGTGGGAATTACGAGGTCATCACCTGCAAGAACACGGGACCCAAGAGTGTAAGGAACCGGCCTAACCCCGGTTCGTTCACAATCGAAGAATCAGAAGAAGAAGGGTTAAGGATTGAAAACGGCAGGCTTGAGGAGGTAAGGGAGCCAGAGGCGCTGACTCTAAGCTTGGCGAACATAGGCGACGCTTTGGACATAGTATCGACCTATGRGATGGCGGATCCTGAGGCTGTGGAGGCCTTGAGAGAGAAGGTAGTGGAGCAAATGGGTGCAGGAGAGATGAAATTGGTATATCGAACACCTGGTCAGACAGGTGGAGAGAGTGRAGCGCAACCCYAGAGCGCAACTCGGYCTTTTTTRGGGGTGGGCTCAAGCAGGGYGCCCAAAGGCGGTACAAAAGGAAAGACCAAAAGTGTCGCCCCGTTCCCGTACCYGTTACTGAAGAACARRAGGTATACTACAAGCGGGAGCGAGAGTTGATAYGRCAGATGCGAGAAAGGACGGAAAGTGGACCATGCCGTATYAATGCYGAGAMAGAAAAGACGCTGATCATAGGGGAGCCTGACTTTCTTRWGGCGTAGGAGGRGAAATTTGTGGTGGACACCAYAAGAGGAAGGCATGCTGSATATGCSTTCAGTRATRATGAGAGAGRCCRACTGGACGTGGATATTATCCCAATGATTAGGATACATACCGTACCCCACGAACCGTGGAACTTGCGAGGTGCKCGGTATCCKAATCCCRYTGACGAAGARAAGRTGGTCAACTACCTTGATGGGAAGATCCGCACTCATGTGGCAGATTACTCGAGCGGACCGTATGCRTCCCCATGGTTTTGTTTTGTCAAACCCAATGGGACGCTGAGGTGGGTACARGATTTACARCGCCTGAATGCTGTGACGGTGAGSGASSCAGGGGGTCTCCCCAACGCTGATGCGCTTTCGGAGGCATSCGYTGGGAGGGCMATCATATCACTCATTGAMTTGTATTCAGGCTACGATCAKTTCCCTGTATACCCGTCTGACCGGCCTATGACARCCATGCATACCYCTCGAGGGCTGATCCACATGAACGTCGYACCGCARGGGTRGACGAATGCGGTCGCTATGGTCCAGCGGCACATGGTGAGGGCGATGCARCYCATAAGTCCTCACATCACGCARCCCTACATTGATGATCTGGCCGTAAAAGGGCCCAAAGARAAGGACGAGCAGGAGGTGGTGCCAGGRATCAGGCGCTTTGTGTGGGATCATGTGCAAGACTTGTKCAAGGTCCTGGACCTTTTGAAGGAGCATAACCTCACTGCCAGTGGGCCRAAATCGAGGCACTGCATGAGTGGTGYCACTATCTTARGATTTGTGTGCGACGAGAGGGGTCGTCGGCCAGRTACTAARAARACTAACAAGATTCTCGACTGRCCAACACCGTTCCAGACTATCACGRAGGTGAGAARTTTTMTGGGCACGTGTGGGTTTTGGAGGATCTTTATTAAGGGATTTGCGGCAAAAAMTGAACAGTTGAGGAAACTTGTGCGTCAAGGACAAGATTGGGWGTRGGRAGACCARCAARAATCGRTGATAGAAGGCCTGAAGAAAGAGTTCGAGGAAGGAGGTGTAGTACTGGGGGTACCGGACCATGCGGCGGTGATGACMAGGYCGTTTATTGTGGAGAYGGATGCAGGGCYGACTGCGTTAGGAGGAGTGTTGATCCAGCGAGACCCCAACGGAGAAGAGTGGCCATTAAGATTCGAGAGTCGGACRCTTAATACGTCTGAGAGGAACTACTCTCAGTTCAAGCGCGAAACCWTGRCAGTTCTTCAYTGTTTGAGGATCTTCAGAAACTACYTCTTCSGCARCAGGTTCGTACTAAGGGTGGACGCTACGRCATTGGCTGGTTCCCTMAAAAACTTCGCTCCTTCAGATCCAAYTATCGCCAGRTGGCTGACCTAYATCTGGATGTTCGACTTYGAGTTGGAGCGAATTCCAGGGAACAAGAACAKGGYGGACGGGCTRAGTCGAGTCGACTGGGACAAAAACCATCAGGGAGTGATCGAGGATACTCCACCAGTCGACAGAGTTTTGGACAGCGAGGAGGATGTGAGACTTCACATCAACTCCTGGGCATTGGCCGTGGGTAAGTACGTTACTCCTGGGCGACCTATATGGCTTGCGCCTCCGGGACATGTACGACGRSCAGACTTGGTCCTCAAACCCTATATTGAAGAAGATTCTTGGGGAATGTCGGGCGTAGGTTGGATGATGGAGCTSGCCYTARCAGGCAAGTACGAGCTGCAGGAAGACCCGCTTACAATTGAAAATGGGGCGCTACAGGTRGGTAAGYACGAGAAGATGATAGGTGGGGTGTACCTGYTGGCAAATGCGCTGCTTCAGGAAGAGACGGTCAGAAATACGGTACTAGACCAGGAAGAGGAGATAGAGTCGGGAGAAGGTGACAATGTCCTCCACGAGAGGGAGGATGATGACTTTGAAGAGGGGGAGATCAAGGAAGCGTTTCGAGCAGAGGAGTATTAGGGCGTATATCTTGAACTCGGCATGCTTCTTTCGTGCGAGATGAGGGAAAGGGATGCCTGCGCGCGAGTTCTGAAGATGAGGCCTAGTTTCCTGGTGAGGGATGACCATCTGTTCACGAGGAGCAAAGGAAGGGACCCCAGGAGAGTAGTCTGTGGCGTCGCTCGCCAGATCGACATTGTGGCGGCACTGCACTACGGTATGGCAGGTGTCCACAGAGGTGCGGATACGACATACCTGAAGATCCACGAGTTGTATTATTGGGATGGCATGGGGAAGATCATTGATGACTATTGTAAGTCTTGCGTGCCATGCTAGGAACGGTCTGCTCTCAGACCCAGGGAGCCGCTGCACCCAAGGTACGTTCGTAAGGTTGGAGTAGTCGTGCACTTGGATCTATTGGCAATGCCGTTGGGGATAGGGAGTTGCAATTTCATCTTTGATGCACGGGACAACCTGTCGGGGTTTGTGGATGGCAGGGCCATTCGCACGAAGACTGGAGAGACATTGGCCCGATGCATCGAAGAGTACTATCTTCGCTACCCCTTTGTGTCCAGATTCGTGATGGATAGAGGGTCCGAGTTCACATGTGCAGAAGTGAAGGCTCTTTTGAAGAAGTATGGGGTAATCGCTGAGTACACTACTGCAGCGCACCCTCAGGCCAACGCACCTGTGGAGAGGGGGCATAGCACCATCACAAATCTTCTTGCCAAGTGGACCGATGGCAGACCCAACCAATGGCCAAACTTTCTAAGGGTCGCGTTTTTCGTGGATAACATCACTATCAGGAGGAGCACTGACTATGCACCTGCTACGCTATGGTACAGCAGGCATGCGATATTTCCCATTGAAAGCTTCCTGAAAACTTGGAGGCGACAGGACCTTGAGACTGATCTGACCTCTGAGGAACTGCTGAATTTGAGGGCACGACAGATCGGCGCTAATGAGGACAGGATTGAGGAGGCAGCAAGTAGAACCGCGGACAACCGTACCAAGGACAAGTTCCGGTGGGACAAGATGGCAAGAGTGAGAAAGGAGTCTCTCAAGGTGGGAGATGTTGTACAATTGTATGACTCATCCCTGGAAAAGCAGTGGTCTCGAAAGTTGGACATGAGGTGGCTGGGACCGTATAGGGTCACCAGGTGTGGAGAACACGGAGCGTATCAAATTAAGGAGCTAAATGGGAGGACATGGAAGGATTGGGTGTCAGGCTCGAGGCTGAAGAAGTTTGTGGCTCGAGACGAGGTGAGCAGGGATCTCACCACCTAGAGTCATTTCGTGATTACTTCGAATGTTGCCCTCAGTAGAATAGCGTGATAGGTTGTGGTTAGACTTGCATGTGTGTGTGACTATGTATGCGTGTGTGTGTAGGTAGGTAGTTGAGATAGGTGTGGGAGGGTCATGTCTGTCTCCTGTTGTGTTTTGTCTGACATCGCTTACCCTCTGTGTGCTTCTGTTCGCCTCTTCCTTGTTGTGCAGGCTTGATACCGCTTGGGGCAGCCATGCCAAGAGGGAGGGGAGGGGCAGGGCCAGTGGAAACCCCTTTGGGGGCAACCCGACAGAGGACGCAGATGAGGACCAGGAGAGAGGACAGACCTCCAGTCTTCCAGGGAGGGAACATTGAGCTGTTCCTGATGGAGTTCGAGCGGCATGCGAGAGAGTTTGGATGAGACAACACCAGGATGTTGAGAGAGGTGCGAGGCACAGGCGAGTGGGCGGACCCTATTGCTAAACTGGTCAGAGAGTMGCTGAGCTGGCAMGACTTTGGAYGGAGGATGGAGGGTTTGCATCCRTCACCACTGGGAAGGGATGGACAACCCATTCGATTCGACTCCACTAATCTGGGGGAGTTCTTATGGGCTTATGATCGATATGCGGATGAGCTCTGTATCCCAGGAGAGCAGACAGTGGGGAGTTTCCTGTTGTTTGTAACACACCATATCAGACCCTTCGTACGATCCATGGTGGCATCTGCCATGAACTGGGGGCACTGCAAGAAGTTGCTATGGAACCATTATACTCCAACTCGTCAGGCAAGTGAGAGGAGAGGTGTGGAAAAAAGGAGAAGGGAACCTGAGACAGAGGCAAGGGGAACCTTTGAGCAGGGCGCGTCACCAGGGGCTCAGAGAGAGGAAAGGGGAATCTTTGAGCAGGACACATTGTCAGAGGCTCAGAGGGAGGAGAGGAGGAAGGAACACAAGTCCCACAGGCACGAGAGGGCTGAGGGAGTAGGGGGTTCAGGCGCACCTTCGCAGCCTGATCAGAGGGAGGTGGATCACCCTATGGCAGGTATKGAGCYGGACAGGCTTCAGGAGCCGCACGTGCAGGAACAGAGAGAGGTTCAGTCTGTTGAGGAGAAGGAGTTGGATWGGAAAAAGAGAGCAACAAGGGAGCAGAAAATCAGAACCCAGCTCACGATGAAGAACCTGGCAGACCTGCATGAGAGGATGCAGCAAGGAAAGRCACCTGATAAGATGGAGGACAGAAAGGGTGAAGGTACTTGCACTCAGGAAGAGGACCCACCTCTGTTTTCAGAGGTCTGGTTGGGCTTSRACAAGTTGATGGATGCCGCGGGGAGATCTGGAGGACACCACCASGAGATGGRAGTCAAGTTGGTCTCCACAKACCTACTTAACCTCAAGGGTGTGATGAAGGAAGAATTCCCTGCAGCAAAGKCCTCAGATCAGAGGATTGGGRACAGGATGACGAAGGTGGCACGAAAGGCTTATAGCCAGAGAGTGGACTGGGAAAGAGAAGCTGAGGACCTGAAGAGGGAGCTGGGAAGACAGGGCAAAGAGTTGGCAGCAGTAAAGGCGGACATGGAGAGAGTCTCA